ATCTAATATACGAATAATAAATTTATGTGCAAGACTCAAATATCATGTAAATGTCTTCAAATAAAGCACTGTTTCTATCTAACGAGTCCAAGAGAACAAAATCATTGATACAAATGGGGCCAAATATCAAAAGAAAAATGGAAGTTGCAGTGTTAGGAGAAGGTTCTAAAATTATAATTTTCTTTAAATGTTTTTAAATGAAAAAAAATGTCATGCCTCCTTGAAACTAGAAGTCTGGTCATGTGACTCACAGGACTCGGAGTTGGCTCCAAGTTTAATCCTGTGGTTAACGAAATAAAAAAACAGATGTTTTGTTCCAAACACTGGCTCGCTCCTCATTACCCACCCTTTTTTCAGAATATTCTTTGATTGTAGAAAAGTTGTGAATCTTTTTTCATCCTAGTGTTCATCGTAAAAAATAAAACATGCAGAATAGAAACAAGGAGTCTGGTCATGTGACTCACAGGATTGCTCTCCGGAGAGATGGGGCACCAGCACAAAGTCGTCGGTGTCACAGGAAGAGTTCTTGCTGCTCGTGCTGCCGCCTGACTCTTTAGACAGCTGCAGGTAGTTGGGCGACGATAACACATCTTCAGTCAGAGTCTGCATGTCGGGCAGCGACTGCAACACAAAGTTGGATCTCAAAACCGATTTTCCATGAGCAGCACCAACAATTTGAACATTATTATATGTATTTGTGCAGCCCTGAGACTCTTACTGGAGGAGAGACGTAACGAATAGAAGGAGAGCTGCCACAGGTGCTGTCTGAGACCAGGCCTGAGCATGTGGGCACTGGAACGGGGCATGCTGGGAAAAGAGAATCAGTTAACAGCCCAATTTACATCAGATTAACTTCTGTACTGCTCGCTCTTACTTACATTTTTTAATAGTCGGTGGTGGTTCCATGAAAGGGTGACTGAAAAAAGTGTCTGCAGACGGACGAGACAATGAGTTAAAAGGAACAACAAGCTGTCAATCCTCCCATTTGCATAAAAAAACCACAGCATCATACTGACCAAAATCCATCCGATCTTTCTGGTTCCTCTGGAGCAACCCCAGCAGCAGGTCTTCCAGCTGAGGAGATGTCTCTCTCGGGATGCTGTCAATAGAAAGTGAAAAAAGTAGTGATAAATGACACAAAAAACTTTACAAAATTTGTGATTTCGAATGTGAAAGAAGTCTCAAACTGGATTGCTGTGTATGCTCAATTCTATAGAAACACTGCTTTTTACATTAAATACCACCGTTGATATGAATAAATACAATTTAACGGATGGTTAATCCTTCCCCCTGGTATCCCAATGTGGGCGGGGCTTGAACGTTAATGTTATCTGCTAATCTGCATATGCAAGTATATGCATGATTTTCTTATCCAATGCTCTTGTAATGCTAAAACATTAGTGCAGAATGAAAAAGCGTAAAATGCATTTGTTCTAGTAACATGAAAGAAAACATTTGTAAAGTAAGTGTATTAGTGGTTGCTATAGCGCCATCAACATCTGGTAGATCTTTTCACTGTTTCATCATATTGGATACAGTGGTGAGTGACTTAAACGTTTGTGTGATAAAAGCACGGTTGAGGGAGAGAGTGATGAAAGACAGACAGAGAGAGAGAGAGAGAGAGAGAGAGAGAGAGAGAGAGAGTAACAGTGTTTTGTGTGCATCTTAAAATGATCATTCAGCATAAAACTCAGCTCAAATAACACGAATACGTAAAAAATACACTCTGTTAGACTTCGAACACTATTAGTTCGCAATTTAAAAATGGCACAAATGACATTGAAAAATGCATTAGGAAGACCTTCCCACCGAATTGTGGGGTTGGTTCCAATTTTAATCCTACTTTTCGAAAGTTTTTGAGCAAAACAAGTGTCGGATTGTCCCCTTTTTACAAAAAAAAAAGGAAATGAAAACTTGTCCACAACTTCAATGCAAATGAAAAAAATATTCTTCCAAACGCTGACTCGCTCATTGTTAACAACTCTTTTTGTAGAACAGTTGTACATAGAATCTTTTTCACCCTGGTGTACATAGAATTCACAAAACCAATTTTGGGTCTTGTGTAGTCAGCTGTGGCTTTATCTTTGACTGATAGTGTTAGCAAGGGTGAAGGGAGAGCTGTGAGTGTAGTGTGCCAATAAGTAAGCAAAAACTCATCAAAAGACTGAGCACTTTTGGTTTCATGACTCCTTTAAAGAAGTATTTTTAAAAAATCTTACTTTGGCACTAAGGTCTTGTTTTTTTCATAGAACATCCTCAAGTCCTGAGGGCTGTTAGCCTAAACACACAAAAACATCATTTACTAAAAACAAAAAGCAACAAAGACAACCACTTAGAGCATGGGTGTCAAACTCAATTCCTGAAGAGACATAGCTCTGCACATATAAGGTCCAACGTTACCTAAACACACCTGATGCAGGTCATTTGGTCCTTCTTGCTGGTTGCAAACACCAGGTCTATGTTTCTCTGAGAAGGGTTACAAGTAATGTGCACAGGAACTGAGTTTGACACCCATGACTAAGAGTAAGAGTCCATATCAAATGCTAACGTGACCGTCACTGTTCTGATCCTCACCTGGAAAGGTGGCTTTCCCACAAGGCATTGATAAATAACAGTCCCGATGCTCCACAGGTCAGCTTTGGCATCATAGTTCTGCGACATGATCACCTCTGGGGCCTGTGGAGGGAAGGGACAGGACGCATCCGGATGTCAGTCTCACACCAGTACTGTATTTCACAAATCTGATGTAGACACTGACCATGTACATCGGAGATCCGCATAACGTGGCTGCCATCATGTTGCTCTGCAGATATCTCGCAAAACCAAAGTCAGCTGTCATAAAAAGAGAATGCCACTGTTGTTAATAGCAACAAGGAATCGAAAAGAGTCTCGCAACTAATGCACACAAATATAAACAAAGAACCTGAGGGATTTCATTTACAGAGGATAGAATGTTTTGAATGAGTTATTTCCGTACTGTGGACTTTAATATGAGGCCAAAGATATGGGAAAGTGATCAGATATTAACGTCAGTGGCAGGGTTTACCAATCTTGATGCGAATGCCATTGATGCTGGACTTCTTGCGGCCTGTGTAGGACAGCAGGATGTTCTGGGGTTTAAGGTCTCGGTGAATGATGCCTTTGCTGTTGAGGATACGCATCGCAGCGGCTATTTGCTGTAGAAAGACTCTCAATGTGTCCTCACGAAGAGTGCCCTTTGCTGGACGGGGTGAAAAAAATGATTGCAATGTCAGTACGGCGGCACACAGTTCATAAAGGTTTATCTAAAAAAATGTGGAATAAGAGAAAAAAGCTCAGTATTCAGAAAGTAAAGCTTAAATTGAAGTTTTTATCCTATTCCCATTATTGCGTTGGCTTACGTATTGTGATCCGTCTTTTGCTTCGCACACGTTTCTAGACGTTTCTCTTCCAAGACCATTCGAGCTACAGCCTCTGAACTTTGCAAAAACAGCCAAACTGGTGTGAACTGGGTTGCTATATCCTTTCAGACAATTCCATTAAAAATTCTCAGAAATCGCGGAGAATGTTGGCACATTTTCCATTGACTAAACATAGGGGCAAAACTAACTCAAACTGAGAATCTCATAGAAACGTCAAAAAGACCTCGTTTGTGGAGGTTTGCAGTCTGTTCAAAAACATATGAACCTCTCTGCAAAGTATTTTTCTAGAAGGTTCTAGAAGGGGTTGAATATTTACCATTGCCTTAAAATGCCAATTGAAAAGAAATGCTATCAAACCCAAGCAATCAAATTTTTTGAACTCAGGGGTTGGTTATTTAACTTATAGTAGGGGTAGGCAAAGTCATTCCTGGAGGGCCGGTGTCCCTCCTTGTTTTTGTTCCAACCCTGCTTCAGCACAATTACTAGCTTTAAACAAACCAAGGAGAGCTTAATTAATAGAATCGGATGTATTTCATGAAGGTTGCAACAAACTTGTGTAGGGCTGCGACCCTCCTTGCCCACCTCTGACTTATAGTGAGAAACGGAACATTATATTATGTCACCGACCTCGCCATAGCAACCAGACTGTTTACTTTACACGGGGACATGGGGATTCGTTTATATACCTTGTATATGCATGGGGAACTTTGGATGGTGTCAGTTATTTCTCCATAGCAACCAAAAATTCTACTTGGCAACCAGTCCAATTTGCTTATAAAAATACTTTTACACACTCGTTTTTATTACAATTTTATGCATTTTCATGAAGGGCTAAAATGAAAGGCTGTGTTGCTCTCCATTCTTTGGTGTGTCTGGACTAAAATGGCCACCAGCACAACCAAAACGTTTTTTTGTCATTCATTTTTAAAGTTTTAAATACAAAAACCATGTCCCATGTCCATTATATAGGTCAGAAAAAGAATTTAAATCACAAAAAGTTCTAGTTTCACAGAAGTTATGCATCATTTTTAACCAGATAACATTAAAGTTACACATATAGTGTGTCAACTTTTTTTATTTGATTATGTTTATATGTTTGTAAAATGACCAGTAATGATTCCTTTGCTGATCCTTCACAATCATTTGGCTGATGAAAAAGGCTTAACAGTGGGGCCCCATACATAAGTGTATATTTTCAGCACCTCCTCTTCACCCTCGGTTTTGCCCGGTGCACAAAATTGGTGCACAAACTTTAGCCGTCTTGTTTTTATTACATTATTATCATGCATTTTTTTCATTACATGTTTTATGACAAGAACCATGTGCAATACATTGATTTTGAGGTGCATCACATTGTCTTCATGGACATTAGGTGATGACATCATCATTTTCCATTATAAATAAGAAGTGGAATTATCCAAACGAAGATATTAAGATTGGCATAACCCATCCCATGCACCCTAAAACCTCAGTGGGGAAAAAGCAGTGGGGAGCCATACCTGCAACACCCAGGGTGCAGTGGGGGTAACAGGTGGGTTGTTCAAGCTCACCACAATCGTGGTTGTGACAGGTGGGAGAGAGTGAGCTTTCCCCACCCACTGGAGCTGGGGATCAAACCAGCAACCTTACCATCACCAGTCAATCGCCTTATCCACTAGGCCACAGCTACTCCGATATATAAATATTTATGTTTATATATGCACCCCCAAAACCTATTAACCTAGAAAAGGATATTATGAATTTCCGAAAACAAATGATGAATTAATTAAAATTATCTTTAACTTTAGCCATTCTGTCAACACATGCTCATACTAGAACTAAGAACAACATTAGGCTCCCACTTCTATGAAGCATCTGGATAAAAGCACTATAAAAAAAACATTTGACGACTTAAAAAGATCAAAAGTCAGTTGTATCTACTGCCAAAACCCCTCTGTACACAGTAGGTCTAGCCTTTCTCCAGTGCACTGATGTCAGAGGGTGAGCAATGATGTCAGAATTGATTTTTGGTTGAACTGGCTTTACAAATGATTGGGGTAAACATTAAAACCGGCTAAAGGGGGGTTTACATGCACCGTTGTCGCCCTGGTGCCCTGCTAGAACAAAACTGCTGTAATCCGATGAGCGGCTAAGAGGATTCCCCTCACTCAATCTGCCCTGTAAACAAAGCAATTATGATCAGATGAACTTCATACAGATCCCTGAACACAAAGGCTCGCCGCCAGCTCGTTCAACTACGGAACGGTTGCATAATTATACAGTGAAGAGGCCAAAGACAGACTGTTCTCTCGAACCCGTCACTGTTACGCACAAAGATAGCACAATGTCTGACCAAGGGTTAGCAGTCCAGCCTGCGTCACATGATCAACGTACAGTAAATGACACCTGAGTCACCTCTGTTGGTTCTTTGCATGACTCAGTAAGAACTTAGTTTAGAGACCAATCAGAGTTTAGCATAGAACAACATTATTTTAGAATAGGCAAAACTAAACCTTACAGTGTATTGAGAAAGATGTGTGCTGGCAGATTGAACTGTGAATATGTGTAATTTATTTGGAGGTCCTGTATGGTGAGGACTTTTGGCTTCATAATATATGTGTTTTGAAGCAAATCTAAGAAACCCCTTACCTTGCAGGTAGTCTGCCAGGTCTCCTCCATTGCAGTACTTGAGAAGGAAAGAAACAGGAAACATTAAGCACAACCTTAAATACAGAATATTGGTCAATACAATCTGGAATCTAAAAGTGCTGCAGTAGTGTGGGACTCAGCTTGTATTGCTGACTGCAAACGTCCAAATCTTAAATTGCAAATAATTGCAGTACAGAGCAACTAAAAGCATTGCATCTCAATCTGAGTACTATCCGCACCTAAAACATGTGAAACGAGTTTTACTGTCTCAAGCCAGATTATCTCTGGATGCGTTACCATTTACAGTTGGTCTTGTATAGAAATCTACAACCATTTAAATTTAATCTGATTTCCATTTCTACCCCTTAGGCCTTCACCTCGAATTTGAATGTACATGTGAGGTGAAGGGGTGTCCCAATTCTTTTTTTTTAACAAAAGACTAGAGCTAAGATGAAAAGCTGTGTTGCTTCCCATTCTTTGGTATGTCTGAAACTTTAAAAGCACAACCAAAACGTTTTTCTGTCATTAATTTTTGAAGTTTAAAAATAATTGAAACCATGGTTTATTTCAGATTTCATGTCCTGTGTCTATTATATAGACTTTAAATCATATTTATCACAAATCACAAAAAAGTTCATTATTATTAACCTGATAACATTAATGTTATGCATATAGCGTGTTGACTTTTTGTTTGATTATGTTTATATGTTTGTAAAATGACCAGTAATGATTCCTTTGCTTATCCTTCAGAACCATTTGGCTGATGAAAAAGGCTTAATAGTGGTGTCCCAATTCATAAGTGTATATTTTCAGCACCTCCTCTTCACCCTCGCTTTTGAGGGCTAAGGGGTTGTCAAAAGGGAGTGGCTAAGAGAAACAGAACTCAACCTAATGCCTGTTTCACACTGTTTCACACTGAATTTGTGTCCATTAAGTTTGCGTGGCGTCTACGTTCCATCTGCGAATCGAAGGAGCTCGCAGCCATTTTGCTTTCACATGGCAAACGTTTGCAGCTTGTACGTCAATCCTCTATTACATCATCATTATCCACACTGTATGGATGTAATTTAAACACTGAACCAAGCTGTATTCGGCAATACCAACATAATAACTTTGAAGTAAAGTTAACTTCGAGTTATCTCACATTGTCTTGAACAGATAAAAAAGAACACAAGGACAAGCTCTGTCCCCGACAAACAACTCTTTATAAAGTGCTTTAAGGCTCAGAAACAGCCGAATGCTGTTCAACTTCGATGTTAAGGCGAGTGTAAATAAAACAAATAAAAAATAAATAGATAGCTTCTGCCCATTAACATGTATGTCAGAAAAAAAAGACTCGCTGCAGACGCAACTTTGACAGAATCAGTGTGGAACTGGGCTAAGACTCCCCAGGTTTCATTTTGTTGCAGAAGACAAATATAACATGCGCTAAATTGGCAATTAACTAAAAATCGTTCAACCGGTTCTGAACAATGTTTCTGTTTCCTTCCTGCCTGCACATGACCTTTGCCTGTAACACCTCTCTGAGTGAGAATAAGCCCCTCACCTCGATTTATTTTATGCTAATCCTATTAAGATTTGCTTCGAGTGGATCTCCAAGTCTGAACCTCCATCCATAACAATAACAATCATAATTTCATAGAATTATAATTGGATTTTTACTCCAAATGTTTTGTTGTATAGGTAAACTTTGGGCACATGTTTAACCTAATGACCTCGCCAACACTTCATTTGCTGCTTGCACGTAATTTACAAGCAAGAGCAAAGTGTGACTTGGTGGTGAGCCAAACTCTTGCAGCAAAACACCCTCTCAGGTGCCAATAAACAATACTTAGAAAGCCAGTAGGTTAATTTATTAGACGTGCCAGGTTGATATTGAAGCTCTGAAATAGTTTTAGAGCAACTTTCCCTGAAAATCTATTTTTAGTTTGGGGTTGTTTGTAGAGTCAGTAGTGTTGGGCAATACTAGAAAGCATAGCCATGAAACTTTATAGGCACGCTGCAGACATGTGACTAATGCATGAGTATTGTGAAAGTGAGACGCTAGAAAGACAGGAAGAAAACAAGCGTCAGACTCACCTCCATAACCAGGAAGACCGAACTTGGCGTTTCCTAAAAGACAAAAAGCAATAATTACAACTGCACACAGACATCCATCACTCACTGTAGCCTGGAGCAATGGCAGGTGGTTTGGGAAACACAAGCTCAACACGTGTGTACGAGACGGCGGCTCACGTCTCGAATACTGGCATGCAACATTATGTTATTGAAACCGTTTCAACCTCTAAAAGTTCCATTTCTCCTAAAAAAATGAACAACTGAATGGAGGACACTGACTTATTGCAATTAGACAGGTCACCACTGAACAGAATTGTGTCTGAATGATTCGGCCATTTTAAGACTCATGATAACTCTCAGAAAATTGATGCTGGCAGCTCATTAATGATGAACCATTATCAACCATTAAATGTCCCATTATTAAAGTGGCTGCCTGTGTCTGGGAAGAGTTTGTCATTGCGTTCATCACTCCATTTCCTCATCTGATCTAATTTCTTCATGACATCATGACCTCATTCATTCAAGCTGACCGATTACACTAAATACCCACAGAGAAACTGAATAGTACCACATTTAAAAAAAGATTCGTGAAAAAATTGTGATGCAGTGCTCTTTTGGAATAGGCAAAAGTACAATAAACAGCATGAAAAGTCTCACTTGTCTGAGGAAGGGAAATCTGAATATTAAAATGCAGCAAACCAATATGAAGATGAAATCAACTAAAGTGGGAATTCAGGAAGATAAATTAATCTAAAAAACAACTTTATAAAGAGCAGCTCACAGAAATACAAACTTGAACACAGAACCAGATTTCAAGGTACATTGTAATGACCCGCCGGTGAATAGAAGTAAACCAATAGAATTTACATAGAACCTGATAGCAGGGGAACAAAGTGAAGACAGGTGGACTAATAAGAATAATGTCTTCCATTTATATAGTGCTTTTCCAGATGTTCAAAGACGCTTTAGAATTTTTAGAGCATTATAAGATCAGTCCACATTCACACACTGGTGGTAACAGATAGTGACTTCCATTTCGCACCTACTGTCTCCCGCCCACCACCAAACACACCCCACCAGTCACACACATCTATACAGTGGCAATGCAGGTAAAGTTGCTTGCTCAAGGCTAGGACGGCCAACACCCACAATACTCCACTTGACGCAACTAATCATTAGATAACAAGGGTACATGAGAGCTCATGGCCAATAGGAAACAAGAAGCCATGTGCTCAGATGGACAAAGACACACATGGACAAAATGACCAATAACCAAGCGCATGGCTGGTGAACAAGACAACATTTCCTGATGCCAGGCTCTGCCACAAAATAAGAATCATTAAGACATCAGTAGCTTTCCTGTGGCTCAGTTGGTAAAGCATTGCGCTAACAACGCAAAGGTTGTGGGTTCAAATCCAAGAACTGGGAAAAGCAAGAACTGACAGAAAAAAAATATGTTCATTCAAATGTAAGTCGCTTTGGATAAAAGCGTCTGCCAAATGCATAAATGTAATGTAATCTAAATGTAAAATACTTAAAAGATGCAAACATAGGACAAAAGATACAGGTGATAGATCATAGAATGAGATTTGTGTCTATTTGTATTGCTGTTCTTGTCCTGCCAAAAATGTTTTGATGCTTTTAATTTTTTTTAAAAAGTGACTTTTGACACTTTTCTCATATGGAGGCGGGCTTAACTGATCTGTCTCCTCATAGGTGGTCTGCATTAGCAGGTGTTTCTCCACATTGGTCAGCTGATTCACAACTAACGTACAACAAACCGCTCCTCAATGGCCAAAGGAATAGGCAAAGGGGTAAACCTTCTATTGTGGACCTGATAGAAGCGCGCTCTTATGGAAGTTTGTTTACACAGCACAGAAGCGTTTTCCACCACTCAGATGTTTTGACTGATATTTTATTTGGTGGTTTATTTCAACCGACCAATGTGGAGACATATCTGCTAATGCAGACCACCTATGAGGTGGCAGATCAGTTGAGCCACGTGAGGAAAGGTGTCAGTATTCTAAAAAAAAAAAAACAGAATTGAAACCTACAGTAAATCTGATTAAAAAAAAAGTTAAAAACCATTTTAAGAACATTTTTGAAGAACAAGGACAGTAGAAATTAAGTTTAAAATTAGCTCAGTTTTAAAGATTACTGCATCACACCAAGGGCGACAATAAAACAAAGAACATTTTTTTAAAGTGCCGTTGTTAAATCAAATAGAAGAAATTAACATTTTAAATGGGAAGAATAACTTAAGGTTAGGGTGGCACGGTGACGCAGTGGGTAGCACTTTGACCTTCCAGTTAGAAGATTCACGGTTCGAGGCATGCATTACATTTTTTAGCTGTTGCATGACCAAACCATTACTTTTATTTATATTTTGTTTAAATGCTCCAAAACATATTGTATATGTTTGCTGGTAAATGACTAAAACATTCCATTTCAAAAGGGGATGTGCTAATTTATGCTGCACATGGTTTGTGTGTTGTATGCTAATCCTAAGCTATGCTAAAAGTGCTATTGCCATTCCAAAATGTTAAAACATATCAATAATAAGGGATGTGTAAAATGTGTAAAAAAGCAGTGTTCCTTTAATCAGATAATCTGTAATCTGTTTCCAAGGATCATACCTCCCCAGTTCTGTGTTAGTTCTGTTTATGGGATCAACCCATCCTAAGTGGGCACGGTCACTAGTGTTGCATAATGATCTTTTTAGAGCAGTGGAGAAATGAGGAAGGGAGGGAGAACAGAAATGGACAATGTCCGGCTAGGCAGAAGTTCATAACATTGACCTCCTCGTCTGAGATTCATCGGATGTCCGCTGACCTGGAGCAGGATAAACAACAATGATGTGCAAGAGAGACCAGTGACCAAATGTGCCCAGTAGTGCTGGGCGATATGGAAAAATCATATATCACGATATGGATTATTTTATATCACGATAACGATATATATCACGATATACCACAATAAAGTACGTTTTCAGTTATTCTCTGAAAAGTTTGACAAAATATCATTGCATACTTTTTTTTGCAACTTTATTTTGAAGTGACATTTAACTGAACTGTCACAAATGAGAAAAACTACATTTTAGTGCAGCAATGTAAACGTATCAAATGACAACAGATGTGGTGGAGGTAGAGCTACAGTAGCCTTCACATTTTTTTAACCACATCATAGTTATTTAAATAGTATTATCAAAATAAACTATTTAAAAAATATAAAATAATGGACCACACTGCTGGGCCCGGCATGCGTTATATAAGCGAGGCAACTCGACATTACTGAAGTGCTTACGACTGGGCATAACGTACCTCGGGTCAAGCACTTTGACAAGGTCTCGGAAACTACCCTTCTCAGCTGCATACACGGGGTTCATGCCTTTACAACAGTAATGCAAGATGGAACATGTGATTTCTTTATGGCGCTGGGACGTTTTTTCATACGGTGTGCATTTTATGAAAGACTCTTTAATTTTAGGCTGGCTATATTTTTTCTCGCCACTTGCCCGGGCTGTTTCACAACTTTCTTTACGTCGCATTTCTTCGATTCTCCAGTATTCTTTTTCGTGAACCTTCTTCAAGTGGTAAAAGAGGTTTGTTGTGTTAGCGTCGGGCGCGGAAACAGTTTTTTGGCAGAGTTTGCAGATGACTGTCTTCTGCTCTGTGTCGGAGCTCTTGAAGCCAAAATGCAACCAAATCACTGACGTACCCCCACGTTTCGGTAAAAGTACTTATTGGGCTGCTGACTGCGTAGCAGTTTCAATTTGTTGCGACTCCGGGCATTCATCTTTAATCTCTTGCGTATCCATCTTTAAGCACTCACGAGTTAACTAGCGTAAAGCATGTCGCAACAACGTAAAGCGTCACGTCGCAAAATCACAAGACGGAGTTTCTTTGCGAAAAAATTAATTTTTATTCTTGATTATCACTTATATATAAGACATTATCATACATTTGTCATAGCCTATTTAATGCAATATTTTTTAGTAATTGATAAAATTAGGTTAGAAATGGTAGAAACGATAGAAGAGAAATAGGACGATAGACACTTTTCTATCGTCCCCACGATATATATCGTCATATCGCCCAGCCCTAGTGCCCAGAAAAAAACAACAAATATTTTGGGTCCACCCTTGTCGTCTCCTACCAATATACCACTTCTTGACCACAGATGGACGTTTTCATAACAATATGAATCGTATTGTTTCAATTGTTCGTTTTGTTTCAATAACTTAAGCCCTGTGGTGCGAAAACTACACAAAGCATCAAAAAATACTACACTCTGCCCAAAACTAGAGTTTGTTTTCCCTTTTGGTTCGGTTCTTTTGGGCAGGTGAAAAAGCTATAACGAACTAAAATTGGACCAAAAGTGGAGTAAGGGTGCTTTCACACCTCTAGATTGTTTAATTTAACCCGGACCAAGGGGAACAACTGATACATTGTTGCAGTCGTCTGCAGATTTAGTTCTCATCCGCACCACACCCTCTCTGGTCTGCACCAGCTAAAAACAAAGCCATGTGACATCATACGGCACACATAGGTTTTTTTTGACTGATTTTCGATTGGTTAGCTCAGGGATCTCAAACTCGCAGCCCACGGAACAATACTTTGTGGTCCCCAACATAATATGAAAGTTTAATGTTAGTGCAGCCAACGAGTTTGATGTGAAAGGATATAGATATATATATATATATATATATCAGGGCTCTAGACTAACTTTTTGCACTGGTTGCACTGGTGCACCCAAATTTTCAACAGCATCACCCAAACACAAAAGTTAGGTGCACCCAAATTTTCAACAGCATCACATTTAACACCGCATTTTCACAAGTTCACTTTATTTATTTATTCATTTTTTTTTTAAATCACTGTCCATATAGACAATATTGACTTGTAAATGATTTACTAACAACCTGGTCAATATAAAGTTCTTTATTTGAAGCACAATTCTACAAGAAAGGTAACTAAAACTTACTGAAAAAGTGTTTAAAGTGCTTTACTGAGCTGAAATTTAGATGAAAATATTTATTTTTTCATTTTTAAGTATCAGAATATTATGGTTAATGCAGTAACGAGACGGTAGGCATATTATTGACATAGGCTCCATGACATGACATGGTTTACCTTGGGCATGAGCATGCTCGACCTCAGTGTGTTCAATAAGTATATTCACCGGTCTTCCTCTCCGCAAGATACAACCGTACACAATAATGCATTCCTTTGTGGCGATATATGTGTCTCCGTCGATCAGGAATTCCATGTACGCACTGTTCACAATTTGCACAGACGTCTTTTTTTTCAATGTATCTGTGATGACTCCTATAAATTGGGTGCGCACGACATCATTGCTGTACGTCGGGTTTACGTTCAAGCCATTTTTCTTCATAAGAATTATTTCGGACTTGAATTTAGTGAAGGGGAGTTCTTCTTTTGCAATATTGTAGGCAACGTTAAACTTAATTCTCATCTCGTCTGATGATCTGTTTGCATCTGCCTGCCGCTGAAAGGCAGCTGGGAGAGGGGACACTTGAGCGGTGCATTTATCGCGGCATGTTATGTGTTTTATAGAAAATTCTGAAGTTTATAGTTTCAATTCTAAATGTATTAGAGCCGGTCACAGGGGAGGTTGATGGCTCCGTGTCAGAGCATTGGTTATGATTTTCACGATCAGGCCCTAACTTATCTTTCTTAATGAAAAATCTGTCAATCGTTCTTTTCATCTTCTCTCGTTATGCGCGGCTACATCCACTGTTTACCTGATGGAGTCACCTCTCTCTGTCTGACTGCATCACATGCATTTTCAAACGTACGTTCACACACATACAGGAATATCTGGACCACGGCCAATCAGAGGGGGGGGGGGATACGGGATCTCTGATTGGTTTAGACCACGATATGGGCCTAATGTGTGTCTGTTGTTGAACAACAGGGAGACTCACGGAGTTTAGTTTTTTTCCCCCTCGAACGACGGGTCACATCGGTGCAACCTTTGAACCTTTGATGCACTCTAGAGCCCTGTATATATAAAGCTTCTTAAAAAATATCAAACCATTGACAGCTTTTTTAATGTTATGTAGTCTTATTATTGGACAGTCGGGTAACAAAACATTACCTATAGTCTTGTCAAAGAAGTTTTATAAAAAAAATGTTTGGTTCAAAGTCAAGAAAATAATATATTCCAGTTCTACATGCAAAACAAGAGGAAACACAGTCATGACATAACAGCAAAAACGGCAGACTCCAGAGGGCCAGTGATAATATTGCATCACAACTACATGTGCTCGTTTATTCAAGATGGAAAGCAGCCAAGCCAGGGTTTTAGATTCTAGGAATGTTTGAAGAACACCACATGTGCAGCCAGTTGTGAGTGATGGATGGGGTTTTCTTAGAAGATCAACAGGTTTCTAGAAAATCTACAAGATG